TTCATTTGCAAGGATCCAGAGTCGCTTTTACTCATTTGCTCTCCAGAATCGTGCCAGCATTACTCTTTCAGACTATCATAAAACCAACAAGCTATTTTTAGCACCGTCCGGCTTTTTATGTAGGTCAAAAATCGGAGGATTTCTCTGCAGGTGGGGTGAGATGTATGGGAAAAATAAAGGCAGAACGAGACTGAGACGGTGTTACAGCTTCACCGCTGCTTCATTTTGACTAATCATCCATAAAAGAGTCGACTAGCAATGAATGAATACATTGTTCTTTTGAGTGGGTTCGTTTGAGTGTATTTATTTAAATCGGTTCACAAAATCGGTTTTTGATTGAACTTGTGAGGGAGAAAAGCAGTTTGAGGAATACTACCAAGAATCAAGAATGTATGACAGTTTTATTAAAGGAGTCATATGATGCTGCTAAAAACAACAGTATTTTGTGTATTTGGTGTAATGAAATGTGTTTATGCGGTTTAAAAAAACACATTATTTTCCACATGCTGTACATTATTGTTTCTCCTCTATGCCCCGCCTTTCTAAAACGTGTCAATTTTTACAAAGCTCATCGGTCTGAAAAGCGAGGTGTGCTGTGATTGGCCAGCTATCCAGTGCGTTGTGATTGGCCGAATACCTCAAGCGTGAGACAGAAATGTTACGCCCCTTGCCATATTGTGATGATGCCCTGTCAGGCCGGAGCGATGACTCAAAAATATGAAAACCCATTATAAACGAGGCATTTGTTGCATCCAGTGGGGACATCGATCCACAGCGCAAAGTTGTTGTATTTCCTCAGCAACCAGCACGGATCAGCTCTAGGCATGACGAATCAGATATCATCCACTTTTGGAAGACCAAACAAAGTAGTTTAGCTTTCACAACGAAGCACACAGCTTTTTTACGACATGGCGGCAGAAACAACAAAACTACAGTGAGAATAAAAGTTACGCCTTCTTTCTTTGCGTGAACATTTGGGCGGCGTTATGCAAATCTTCCCACATAGTGATGTAGACATATGGGGGCGTGTTAGAACGAGCCGTTTTAGGTAGGCATGGTTAACTCTTAACTTTTATAAAGAATATCTCTTTGAATTTGAGACTTTAGTCTTTGCAACTTTACAGATCTTCTTTATGCACCAAGAGCTTGTAACACTCCAAAGAGAAAGCAAAAATTTAAATCGCATCATATGACCCCTTTAACACATTGTGATGAGTGGGGCGGGGCTGAGAGCCGTGGGAACAGAGCGAGGCCGGTGGAGTTAATGATAATGCACGACACCTCCTCCACTCACCGGTCTCGAATCCCACGGAGGAGCTCCGGAAGGATAAAAGGAGGAGTGACGACAGTGAAGGAAGAAAGAGGTCCAGGCCTGGACTTTATTTTGTGTTTTGGTTCTGTTTGTGCGCGTCAGTCGTCCGTGAGGGTCTGTCGTGCTGTTTTTTGTTTATTTTATTATTAAAGTTTTGTTTAAATGTTCGCCGGTTCCTGCCTCCTTCTTCCCGAACTACGAACTGTGTTACACACGTATACAACAGTTTTGGGTTTAATAAATTGTATTTATTTTTTGTATTTTTTTTTTATCCATGAGCTATCAGCTCACACAATTATACATTTTATTATTTTATTTTATTTAAATTATTTTATTTTTTATTTTGTAATTAATTTTATTTTAAATTTAGTTTTGTATTTTATTTTCTTAGTTTTGTATTTTTTAATTCAATCATATACTTTTTAATTTTAGATTTTACTTTGGTTTGTATTATATTTGCTTTGTTTTATTTACTTTGTTTGTATTTTATTTTTCATTTATTTTTGTATTTTATTTTTAAATGTTGTTAAGTTGTTTTGTATTTTATTTTATTTTTATTCTTTGATGGCAGTCAAGGAAAAATAAACTGTGAATCTCAGTGCTCTTAAGCAAAGATGGCAGATTGCAAAGGGTATACTTCAGCCGAGAAACTGAACTGAATGGCAATGCTAAGGGATCACTCTTCTGCAGGTTTTATAGACACTTTGGTTGACACAGACCCAGCGTGTCGGTTGGTGAAGAGTAAGGTTGGTTTCTTACATTTCACTGAAGTGCTTCTTTTCAATGTCACTCTTCATTTAGCTTTTCACGTCTCTTGAATATCATGTTCAAATTCAACCTATCTCAGTCCTTTTGTGAGCGGCACCAGTACAGTATCTTGACTATCAGGTCTTCTTTGTGTGAAAGGCACTGTGTCCTTGAGATGCCCTCTAGCTCAAAATAAAGACATGTATGTATTTTTGAGAGAGAAATATTAATTCTGCCTCTCTTAATTGACTGTTATTCGCAGTAGGAAATAGTGTCAGAGTCAGCTGTGAGTTCAAAGGCATCATAAATCATCAAGTCTTGTGAGTCTGTATGTGAGAAGATTTATGATTCTCACCACTGCTGCTCTTTCCTTTGCCCTTTTTATGCTATGCAGGACTTTGGTACATGATACGTGTATATGCATACCTAGCTCAAATGATGCCAAGACTCAGTTACTAAAATTAAAATGCGCAACAATGGCTGGAGCCATTTCTGAGTTAATAAGTAACAAGGAGGCAGCATGATTGTGTGATATTGATTTTATACAACAGTTTAATAAACAAATTTAATATTGGGTAATTTGCATTTAAGATGTGATATTGTCAGATATGTTGTGTTTTTCAATGAACCAGAATAAAAGGGTTGAAAACAAAATCATTCTTTGATAATTCAGAATTATGACATAGGATGTAATTATGAGATAAATAGTCAAAATTTACAAAAATTAGAAATCATAAGGTGAAAAGTCACGATGACAATTTTGATGTTTTAACTCATAAGTCATAATTTTGACTTTTTATCTCAGTTGACTTGATATCTCATGATTTTTACTTTTTGTCTCATAATTGACTTATCTCATAATTTAGATTTTTTATCTCATAATTTACTTGGTATCTCATAATTTGTACTTTTTATCTAGTAATCGGCATATTATCTCATAATTTCAACATTTTTATCTCATAATAGACTTAGTGTCTCATAATTTTGACGTATTATCTTATAATCAACATACTGTAGTATCTCATAATTTTGATATTTCATCTTATAATCAACATACTGTAGTATCTCATCATTTTGACATTTTATGTTATAATCAACATACTGTAGTATCTCATAATTTTGATTTTTATCTCATAATTGACTTAGTATCTCATAATTTAAACTTTTTATCTCATAATTGACTTAGTATCTTATCATTTTGACTACAATTTTATTACAATTGAAAATAACTGTTTTCTATTTGAAACTATTGTAAAATGTCATTTATTTCTGTGATCAAATCTGAATTTTCAGCATCATTACTCCAGTCTTCAGTGTCACATGACCCTTCAGAAATCACTCTAATATGCTGGTTTGCTGCTCAAGAAGCATTTATTATATGTTGGAAACAATTGTGCTGCTTCATATTTTTGTGAAAACTATGACACATTTTTATCAGGATTCTTTGATGGATAGAAAGTACAGCATTTATTTGAAATAGAAATCGTTTGTATCTTTATACATGACTTTACTGCCACTTTTGATCAATTTAATGCATCGTTGCTGAAAAAATTATAAATTTCTAAAAAAAAAAAAAAACTCTCACTGACTGCAACTTGAATAAACCTGACAGAACTGGAGAGGCTCTGCAAGGAGGAATGGCAGAGGATTCCCAAATCCAGGTGTGAAAAACTTGTTGCGTCTTTCCCAAAAAGACTCATGGCTGTATTCGATCAAAAGGGTGCTTCTACTAAATACTGAGCAAAGGGTCTGAATATTTAGGACCATGTGATATTTCAGTTTTTCTTTTTTAATACATCTGCAAAAATGTCAACAATTCTGTGTTTTTCTGTCAATATGGGGTGCTGTGTGTACATTAATGAGGAAAAAAATTAACTTAAATGATTTTAGCAAATGGCTGCAATATAACAAAGAGTGAAAAATTTAAGGGGGTCTGAATACTTTCCGTACCCACTGTATATATATATATTTCTAATTGTAAATGCACAGTGGGTGGCAGGTACAAACATATTTTGAGCTTGTAGTATATATACAGTAAGTGCATAAACTTCACAAAGATCTTCTTGTGTGACAGCTTGTATAGTGACAATCACTTTGAGATAAAAATATATAGGAAAAAGTAGTACCACACCATGACTTGTGACAACTCTGAAATGACTTTCCTTTTCGATTAACATCAAGAATACTTTACTTTATTAACCCCTCCAACCATCAAGCTCCATTTTTGCTATATAATGACTACTTGTCGCTCTCCAATTAATCCCCAGTGGATAAAAAGTCCCTGCGTTTCTTTCAGTCATTAAATATCCTGTTTCACTCAGAAAAGTGTCACATTACAGAAGTAAAATGGGTTGCTAACGGCGTCTCATTCAGATCTATTAGCATAAAGCGCTAGCTCTTCTCATAACAACGCTCTCTGATTTACTGTTTTCATAAAGAGACCCAGGGCCAATTAGATTTGTCTAGGTCATGTTCATGGATGGGTAATTTGCCAATGCGCCTCTAAAGGCTGACTGGATGTCTTTTCCTCTCCTCCACAACTCAATCGAGCTTCAAAGTTAATTTGAGGTCAATCATAACCTCAGATATCAGACTCGCTCCAAGTCTGCTGGCATGTGAACAGCCACAGCTGGGGCCTGATCTGATCGTGCCAAACCTGCAGCCGGTTACTACTGAGAAAACCAGTAATCTTTTTTTAATCAATGCTAATGTCTGCAGGATATTAGATATGGGTTTGAGTTACCTTAGCGAGGCCGCAGTGTCCCTTTTTTTTACGGAAGACCAGACATTCTGATTGGAAATGATACAAATATACAATGAGTCTAATTGGATGAAATGAACAAATGTAATGAAAGATGATGGGTGTAATCTAGACACTCTCATTCATGTTCAAACAAGACGTTGACACACGTGTATGTGTCGTTGTGTGGATGTGTTTCAGGACAGCAGATGATTCAGCTACAGTGGGCACAGTGGTGGTGAGCCGGATGAAGATGGGTGAGATTGAGGATGGTGAGGTGGACCACTTTACCACCGACATGCACCGGAAGGTAAGCTAAATACATACTACTAGCTATTAACTAACTGTTCAGCTTATTCTATTCATTCCTTTTCATTCATTCATTCATGTATTTGTTATTTATTTAACATGTTTCTAAATAAATACATTTATGATAATTTTCTATAATTGATATACAGTAAGTTAATATAATTTATCTTTTGATGAACTACAGTGGAATAACATTTCATTTTATAGAAAGTTTATTTCAGTAAGTGGCATTTCATTTTTATTTCTTGAGTAATATGGTGTTTTTATTTATACTAAACTAGCACTGCTACTAACTTAACAACACTAGTAGTTCAACTGCTTTTAAAACAGTGTAGCATTTGAATATATAAGTATAACAGATAGATAGTTTAGTTTGGCAAGCTAATCTATACAATGTATTTGTTTACTTATTTATGTTTATTAAGTATTATTATTATTTCTTTATTAAATGTATAATGATTTTATTGTATTTTTATACTATGATTTTGCTATTCTCACTTACATAAATGAACTATAGTGTCCTGCACCCACTAGTAAAAAATTATCAAAAATTATATCTGGTCTCTGAATAATTTTTGGTTTCACTGTATATCCTTCGGTTATTTTCACACATAATTATGCCCATTAAAATGTATTTTACAAGTTTTTGTTACTTTCACTATTCATTTTTTTGCTCTATGGTACATCATCTTTAATTTAACAGCATTAGAGCTGCTCCATTGCAGCGGCTTAGTACTGTAATCACGCGCTTTGCTGTAATAATGCAGGGAACCACTCGATATAAAAAACTGTTGTTCTGTTGTCGATGTTTCTTTGTTTGAATATGGCGCTTATCACATGCTGTGTGGTATCGGTGTTTGGTAACTGGGCATTTTAACGAGACCAGTATCAAGCCCGATATCAGTGCATCCCTAATTTTTATAATTTAAGGTTAAGAACTATGACAGAAAGAAATTAGGTTAGACTTTATTTTGATAGTCCACTAACTAATTCTACTAACTATAAGTAATTTGCAACAACATGTCAACTAATTCTCATTAATTTGCAATTAATGTCTACAAACTCTCAGAGTAGACTGTTAGGTTAGGTTTAGGGTTAGTAGAATAAGTTGACATATACTTGCAGTTTCTTATATTAAGCAGACAGTCTACTAATACTCTAATAACTGCTAGTTGACATGTGGTTGCAAAGTTACTTACTGTTAGTAGAATGTCTAAAGTGGACTATCAAAATAAAATGTTACCAGAAATTAATTCTATAGATATTTGGTAGCATTTCATTTTTATTTTGTAGGCACTGATTTTATTTAAAAGGTATGTATGGTTTTTGTTTATACTAAACTAGCGCTGCTACTCACACAGCGAAACTAGTTTTAAAACTGCTTTCAAAACAGTGTAGCTTTTGAAGTATATAACTCATAAGATCCTTTTGAGTATATAAGTATTACAGACAGTCAGTTTAATGCAAACACAATGTTTACATTATGTAAAAAAAAATTAAATGCCCATAAACACAGCATATAGCGTCTTTTCAGAAACATTAAAAGTTAAGTAATGTTTGAAATGCTACCTATAGAATTTATTTATTTGCTTGTTAGGTTGTTCAATTTTATTTGTTAATTTTTCTTTTATACCTTTATTCATTTATGATTATTGTTATGTATATAGTGTATGCCTAATAAGTTATTTTTCTTTTTATGAATGACATTTTTAAATTGAAATATTTATTTCTAGGTATTTTATTTTTTAGGCAATATTATATTTTTATTATTAACAACACCAGTGGTTCAACTGCTTTCAAGACAAAATCACTGTATTTTTCATCCTATTTTATTGTGGTCGCATATACAACTGTAATTTAGTTGTTTTTGAAGTAAAATATGCAATGCTCATATGTAATGTGTTAGTAGCTTGCTGTCTAGCTAACTACGTTTTCAAGAGAGTTACTTGACTGCAGTTGAACTACTGTAAATTAAGAGTGGCTTGTATTTTTTGTGCATGTGCATGCAGTTTGTAAGGGCTGGTAATAGAAAATCACCTCTCAGGACATGTCTCCAGTCAAAGAAGGAAAGTGGAGTGAATATTGAGTGTTGCATCCCTGAAATTCAGTTGCACAGTTGACTGAAGAAGTAAAGCTGCCGTTTGGAGAGCATTTACAGTGTCCATGTATGTGTATATATGGATGATTATGGAATATTGTGGAATATTTTATCCAGTATATTTAGACATCTGTGATGGACATGTGCAAATGAGCCGTATTTGTGTCCCGTGTGTCAGGGAGAATTGAGCATTATTGCACTGACAGACAGCATAACACCCTTCATGTCCCCTAAACTCAATAACTTACACTGACACGGCCATCAGCAGAGCCCTTTAACCTTCATTAATCAGCAGGAAAGAGACACAGACAGAATATAGGGAAGAAACCAGAAGGGTGTGAGAATTGTGGAGCATTATGGAGATGGATGAAGGACATGAGAGAGGAAATGGAGGATATTTAGACTGAGCACCATTTTAATAGAGAAACTTGAAGAGATTTAAATCGAGAGTGCCTTGTAAATGACAGTGCTGAATTTGAATTAATTTAGAGATCAGAATTTCTATTTGAATGCAGGGAAGTAGGAATAACTCCGTTTTTAACTTGAAAAAGTGGATGGAAGACAGACAGACAGACAGACAGACAGACAGACAGACAGACAGACAGACTGACAGACAGACAGACGAATGGATGGATGGAATACAGACAGATAGATAGACAGACAGACAGACGAATGGATGGATGGATGGATGGATGGAATACAGATAGATAGATAGATAGATAGACAGACACACAGACAGACAGACAGACAGACAGACAGACAGATGAATGGATGGAATACAGATAGATAGACAGACAGACAGATAGATAGATAGATAGATAGATAGATAGATAGAGAGAGAGAGAGGGAGGGAGGGAGAGAGACAGACAGACAGACAGACAGACAGACAGACGAATGGATGGATGGAATACAGATAGATAGATAGATAGACAGACAGACAGATAGACGAATGGATGGATGGATGGATGGATGGATGGATGGATGTATGGAT